TTCAGAAACATAATTACTCTAAGGATGTAATGGTGGGAGGAACCCTGTCTTCTCAGCACTCATCCGCCAGCCTCAGCTTCTCTGCACACCAGTCAGTTGCTCCCCACGGCCTCCTTATCTGGATCCTCAGCGCTCTAGGTCTTGCACTGATAGCGGCGCCGGACTCCCTCTCTCCATCTACCCACCACTCAGGACTTGTGTGCATCCACAGGTTGCTTACTGCCTGCCCACTGACTGTTGACCACCTCTGGTTCTGGCAACCTTGTGAACGTCTTCACCATCCAATGGGCTGCCATGATACCTTCTCTGACAAGGTCTGAAGTCCAGCCTTGGGGAGAGGGCCCTCCTACTGGCTTGGCTTTCCTGAGGGACTCTCCACCAACTCCAGGATATCTGTTGGAATTCTGTTTGTATCCTTACATTACACTTGTCTTGTTTTAGTTAGAGTGTGATTTCTGTCTCCTGATTGTACAGAGACTCATAGATGATCGACAAGAACAGTGATTGCTGGGGACAAATGAGTCAAGAGGAGATTTGGGGATACATTTAGTCAAGCCACTGGACTTGAGGAAAGAGCTGAGCTCCTTGCCAATAGGAAAGACATTCACAGAATCACAGTATCTGCACATTCTCACCAACTTTATCTTCAGAACCCTCATCAATTGTTACACTATGGCACAGCTGGCTCATTGGGACACCCAAGTGGCAAAGAGAGAGGGTAACATGGATATTATCAAGCCACATGGAGCCTTCAGTGGTTTTTGGGCAACTTGCACTGTCAGGCCAGTCTTCTGGTCCTTTACCTGTGGAGTGACTCTAGCCCCCTAGATGCATCAGTGTCTATAAAAAGTCAAACAGGAGGGGTTACTCTGGATGTTCAGCCAGGGAATCAAAGGCCTGATCTGGGCAGGAGACGGAATCTCCAGGTGGACTACAAGACCACTGCGTGTTTATTAACATAAACATTTAAACATTGATAATAACACAGTAGATACTGATTCCAACTAATTCTTTGAACTTACTACTCATAAAATTAAAATACATTCATATTTTTTCTCTTGATTCACAGCATTTGAACAGATATCACTTATTTTTCAAGTCACGTATACAGTGAAGAGTAGAATCCTCCCTCAGAATTTATGCCAACCAAATAAAATGTCTCCACTGTCAAATCTGGGAGCAAGCCTTGATGCTCTCCCCTCTCTCACCCTAGAAATGGAATCAACCAAATACAGAACGCTTTCCCATCTACTCCCATCCCTTCCAACATGGCTAACTTGTGTGCCTTGTCTTTTTAGGACTTAAAATATTTATCAACTCTCTTACCTTCACCTGCTCCCATATAAAGATACAGAAAATAATACTCTCCTCTATTTTAGCTCCAGAACTCTAATCAATTTGTAATAATACATTTATTTCCTTGGAGAGATGTTTGCCTCCTCCAATAGTTCACAAGTTTCCTAATAACAGCCTGAGTTGTACTTTTTCACTGAGCACTATCAAGCATTCAAACATTCATTAAGTGGTGGTATCACCTCTAGTAAAAGAACAGATGAAGGAAATATCTAGATTCTTTCACTTTTGCCTTCTACAAAACTCTCAAATCTTTTAGTTTCTTTTCCATAACAATCATCCACATCTAGGTTCCATAAGGGTATCTGAAAACTTATTCATCTTAAGATTCTATCTTGACTCCATGCCTTCATCCTCATCTTTCCCGAAGTTCCTTCTCAAAGCAGGAGTTAGTGGGTTCTATTTAAGTTGTAATGGATTCAAATCACTCTCCTGCTAAAACATCTCAGAAATTTCCACGGCCTTAGAATTTTTTTTTTTAAGATTTTATTTTTTTCCTTTTTCTCCCCAAAGCCCCCCGGTGCATAGTTGTATATTCTTCGTTGTGGGTCCTTCTAGTTGTGGTATATGGGCCACCGCCTCAGCATGGTTTGATGAGCAGTGCCATGTCCGCACCCAGGATTCGAACCAACGAAACACTGGGCCCCTTGCAGCGGAGCGCACAAACTTAACCCCTCGGCCACGGGGTCAGCCCCCATGGCCTTAGAATATTGTCTAGAGCACCTCATTCCCCTGGTCCTGTTCCTGCTCTCCACTCTGTCTCCCACCACTTTGTCTGTTCTGCTTCTGCCAAGCCTCTCTCCGCAGTTTAAGAAACGCACCAAGGTCTCAACTATGTTGTATTTTGCTCATCAAGTTCCCTTCTTCTGAGATGTCCTCACCCACTCTGTAAATCCTCACAACAGCTCAAGGACCTGACCAGGTCAATCCTACTGATGCTTTGACTCACAACATAAATATCAATCCCTCTCACTATGTACTACCACCTCCTATCAAGCCATTCTGATGTCCATACCACAACTTGCCAGTATTCACTTAAGATCTGTATTCCCAGACAGACTGGAAGCCCCATGCTGGCAGTACTATGTCCATTCGGATGGCCTTTTTTCCCGTCCCTGCACAGTGCCAGCTCATTAAAGGAATTCAATGACCATTTGTAGATTGTTAGACAAATGCCATTACCCACCATCATATTATAATATAGAATGCACAAAAAAAGGAACACAAAATAGAATTACAACATAAAACTTAAATAAGACTCACATAAAATGGCTGTGCACAATGTAATAGAAACAAAAAGACAGGACATCTGAAAAGGTATTTGAATATTTTTACTCAGAATGAGTGGGCAGGATATTCTTTCTGAAAACAAGTGCCTTGAAGTTAACACTAAAATTTGTTCCTTATATTTCTCCATAATTTTCTGACATGTTTTTAAAATGTTGATTCAGAAAGTACAAATGGCCTAAGACCTATGGAAGGAAATTTATACCAACAAGCAAAAGAAAATGTATATTTGTCTTTTGACCTAGAAATCCAACCTGAGCAGCTGACCCTGAAAATACACCCCCACAAATGTGAAACAACATATACAGAAGTTTATTCACTGCAGGTGATTAAGAGATGTTAAGACAACTGTTAGAAAGGTTGCTGGGGAACAAGATATTCTGAGTTTCACAGTATCACCCACACGTGACTTTCCTATTCACAAGGAAAAGTCTATCTTTAAACCAGAGCACTCTGCTGATCACCACCTTAAGCAAGTGATCAAAGTGGGCATCACTAACCAAGGGATGGCAGAAATTTCTGCCTTCCCTGTGGAATGCAATTTGATGTACACATCACTCACAAAATATTCTGAAATGATCTTTTGAAGCCTCTACACGAGGAGCTGGCACAGTTTGGTCACAGGCCTGTTGGTGTAAATAAAGCTTTGTGGGAACACAGCTGTGCCCATTTGTTTCCTTAGGTCTATGGCTGCTTGCCCACTACAAAGGCAGAGCTGAGTAATTCTCACACCTTAAGGCTTCCAAAGCATCAAGTACTTACTATCTGGACCTTTTCAGACAAAAAGTTTGCCAACCTCTGCTCTGGACCCATTTACTAGCTGAGAGGAAACTGAAGAAATGGAGGAAAGATTTAAGCACACTATGAAAATAAAACCAGAAATATCAAAATGTGTGACTTTCTAAAAGAATATATTTTCTACGAAAATAAAACCAGAAATATCAAAATGTGTGACTGTTCAAAACGTCAATACGATGGACAAATAATATCCACCGACCCATTACTAAAATGACTGAAAGATGTAAACAACTGCCATATATAAACACTGATATGGTCCTAGATCCAAATACATATTTTGGAAGAATGGAAGAGAAGTTTAGTTTTTACACAGAGTAGATACGAGACGACTTCATTATCTTTAACTTTCTTGGGTGCAATAATAGTATTGTGGTTTTAGTAGGATAATGTTCTTATCTTTAAGAGATGGAGTATCATATAATTAAAGGTGCCGACGAAAATAATCCATAACCAATCTATAAATGAAAATTTGGGTGAGTTTATTCTGAGCTGAAATCTGAGGACCATGGCCCAGGGCCTTTCAAAGGGCACCAAGGAAGTGAGGTATGCAGAGTGGTTATACACCCCCAAACAGGACTTTTCACATATGATTGAAATGTCCCTCCCACAACAGTCACAAGATTGCCCTGTCAGCACAGCGCTTGATGGACACAGCAGGTAGTGGGTCTGCTATCTCAGAAGCGCAGCAGGAGGCAAGCCTATTGTCTTGAGCTGGGTGGTCACAGGTGAGTGCAGCAATCAGTTCCCAGCCTAAGGAAAGATGCTTAATCCTCAAGGGAATGCCAAGGTTGGGAGGGGGAGGGAAGTTGCACCTTTATCTCAAGAGCCTTTGCTCTTGCCATAGGGAATGTCTAAAGCAGATATACAATGTGTGCTCAACAGCCACGGTCAGGCCCGTTTGGAAAGACAAGGTCAGGCTGAATTAGGTTTACACCAAATAGCTTCCTCATGTTCTCCAATATATCCTATTACTTGCCATTTTTATTTGTCAAAGGTCAAGTATCATAAATGCAATTTATTTTTACTACTCTCAAATAGTTCACCATAAAATGTATTTATTTATCTACAGAGAAAGCAAACATGCAAAATGCTAAAAATAGATCAATGTACTACAGGGAACACTCCCTGTACGGGATGTTCAAATCTTCCGTAGGTTTAAGATTTTACGAAAGAAAAACATGATGGAAAAAACACAGTCTAAAGTCCTGTTAATGGCAAACTCAATTTTACAACTAGTGTCACAAAGCCTCCATCGTTTTCTCCTGGAGGCCCCTGTTCTGAAGTTCTGTGGGCTCTACGGGCCTGGGAAGCTCAGATGGAGAGCTAGCTGGGTATTCTTGCCTTCCTTTAGATGAGTACGTAGACTCGTGGTCTACGTACGTTTATACTTACGTAGAGACACGTGCAAATCCTTGACATCTAAAAGAGCATCTCATATTCCTACTTGTATGTAATGTTCAAAAGAAAACAACGCGCCAAGACAAGGCCAAATTCTCCGGTGACACGTTCTGTCGCCCAGGAAAAGCAGCAGAGGCCCCCGACCCACCTTCCCCCGGACTCACAGGCACACGGCGGGGTCGCAGGTCCTGAGGACCGGAGGGCGCGGGGCCTGAGCAACGGGACTCGCACAGCGGAGCTGCTTCTCCTTCTGGGGAAAAGTCTCGAAGGTGATTCGGAGGCTCTGACCAGGGAAGCGCAGGGGACGCCAACGCCCCGCGAGGCGCCCTTCCCGCTCCGGCTCAGCGCGGGGCCCAGCGGCCGGGCGGACGAGCGGAGGCCCGGCCTCTCTACGGAGCCCCTCGGGTCCCGGGCCGCACCTGTCCTTTAACGCCCTCCGTGCGCCCAGGGCCCTCCCTTCACTGGCCTCAGCGAGGACGGCGACACCGCAAAAATACCGACGTGAATGGATCTAAGAGACGTGGAATCACGGGACAAAGGGACTAAGGGAACTGGTGACGCCACTTCCGCTTCCTGCCTCGGGCCGTAAGGGGCGGGTCTCCAGAGCTCGGGCTGTCGATCACGTCCGTCCATTTCCGGCAGCGAACTCTTAGTTCTTCCCGCGTGGGTCCCTATGGGCCCTGGGGTCGCTCGGCGCGGGGCTGGGGGCGGAAACAGGCCCCCGGCCCACGTGGAGGACGGAGGCCGGCCTGTGGGCGGGGCCACGGGCGGAGGGGCGGTGGCCATACGCGGGGCCGGAGGAGGCCAAGCGCGGACTTTAGCCGTCACAAAGGAAAGGCTGGCGATGGGGACTAAAGCTGCCAGGTGTCATCAATAGCTTGTCTTCCTCACTGTCCAGGTTCCTGGAGCCTTTACGGTGATTCTCCATACATCACTATATGCCTGCCGATCCATGAGATGGTCTGTCTCCTCCGTTCAGTCAATCCCGTATTTAACCTTTATTTCTCCCTGTTTCCTTTATGTTGGACGCCATGCTAAACTCGTCATTGATTCCTTTGCGTTTTCAGTGTGACATTTTCTGTAACTTTATTTTTCTTCTTCCAATCATATTTCTCTTTTTTAATTTTTCCGATTTAGCATATGGTCCAGGGCCTCCCATAGTAAATTGTTAAATAGCACTGATACCAGGCATTCTTAACCTAGGAATGGTTCTAAAATGCCTCCTGTAATCAAGTCTGCTGGGGGTTTCAGTGGGTGGCCTTTGTGGAGTTAGTAAATGTCTTTTTAAATCCTCTGCTGGGGTCCCCGTGTACGATAAAGTGACTGAAAGGACCATAGCAGCTACACGCAGCTGAGCATTACAACCAGCCTAGCCGCCGACCTGGGCACCTGCGGCAAGAGAAACCCTGCTATGAGAGAAGGACTCACATGGGGGGGACACTCCTTGAACATTTGGGACTGGTGATGAGAGGAAAGCACACTGCGGGGCCTCATAAGGCATCTCGTACATATGGCTACCTATCCAAGATCAGGAGACATAGCTGACCTACCTAATACAGAGATGTAAGCACAGAGAAAGAGGCAAAATGAGGAGACAACGGAAGATAATCCAAGTAAGGGAACAGGACAAAACCCCAGAAAAGACCTAAATGAAACAGAAATAAACAATCTACCTGACAAACAGTTCAAATTAAAATTCATAAGGATGCTCACTGATCTTGGGAGAAGAATGGATGAACTCAGTGAGAACTTCAACAAAGAATTAGAAAACATAAAAAAGAACCAATCAGAAATGAAGAATACAATATTGGAAATGAAAAATTCACTAGAGAGACTCAATAGCAGAGTAGATGATACCAAAGAACGGATCAATGAGCTGGATGAAAAACTAGAGGAAATCAACCAAGCTGAACAGATGAAAGAAAAAAGAAAACGAACGAGGACAGTAAGGGACCTCTGAAATAACGCCAAGTGCGCTAACATCCATATTATAGATGTCCAAGAAAGAGAAGAGAGAGACAAAAGGGCAGAGAATCTCTTTGAAGAAATAACAGCCGAACACTTTCCTATCCTAAGGAAGGAAACAGACATATAGGTACAGGAAGAACAGAGAGCACCAAACAAGATAAACCCAAAGAGATGCACACCAAGACACATTATTAAAATATCAAGAATTAAAGGTTAAGAGAGAATCCTGAAAGCTGCAAGAGAAAGGCAACAAGTGACAGACAAAGGAAAACCCAGAAGGTTATCAGCTATGACAGACAGGCTTAACAGCAACACTCATACCCAGAGTGAACTTCTCCACAACCCACTCTCCTCCACAAACGTATAACACAAAAGGGCACAGGTCAGTCTTTTTCATGTTTGGTTTTTAAACTTGATATGCATTACCATTACACAGGTGTGATCAAGCCCCATGCCAAGTGTCATCAACCAGCAGCATCCTCGATGGCCAGTCATGACAAACTCGAGGCTGCTTGAACTTCAGAACTATGTGAATTTGTATCATACAGACTGAAATGAGGATGTGCTGGTCTCTGTGCCACTTCTCAGGGGCAGTAATCATGAAATGCCATTAATGGATCAGGCACAGCAGGTTATCAGGACCAGTCCTGTTAACAAGTTTCTCTTTTTTCATGCAACATGGATGGAATGGCAAATCCACTAGCCACTTATATTTCAAGCTGCAGCTGTTCCATGATCCAGGCAGACAATATGGTGGTTTTTCCAGGCTGTGGTGCTGGGATTTTTTACTCCATCTCTACACTGCCTGAGGTCCAAAGTATTCTCTCCTCACGTGCTGGGGTTGTTGCTCTCCATCACAGCCATGAAATCTGGGTGTGTAACCTCAGCTTTTCACCATTCACCTTCTGCTTGCGCACTCACCTTTTATCTGAATGGATAAGGCAAGAGAGAAGGGCTTTTTAGAAAATTTACAGAGATATACTAAAACCCCAAGTTGTCCAGTGTGAGCCAAGGTAGACGCACTCCATGAGCCTTAAATTCAGGCAAGCAGTCATTACCTTCACAATTTAAAACCATATTAATCCAACAAGAGAATACAGGTGGCTATAATGGGATTAAGTGTGAAGCCTTTCAGCCCACTTTTGGCCAGTTTGCAACCTGGAAATTGTAGCACCTAGACTGGCCTTGAATGGCTGTCAGGGGAAAGAAAAACACATTGTGCACAAAAACGGTGAGGACAGAATCACAGATGTTCAAAATACATCTAACGAACCACTGAGAAAGCAATGTCTCATCAGCATATTAGAAGATTTTTGAACCAAGGGAAGCACTTCCTATATTCCCTACATTCACAATGTCTTTTGAGTGTGAGTCATCCCATTTTTAGACTGTGAATCATGCCACGTTTATTAAAGAAAGAGGGAGAATCTAATGGAAACATGATGACTTTCAAGCATTTTTGACATTCATCAAGTTTTTCTCCACTGTGAGATTACCAGTGAATAGTAAATTATTTAGCAGAACTACAATTTTCCACATCTTCTTTTATTGGGGTTCATCTCCAATGCAAGGTCTCCCTTAATTAAAAGGGATTCAGCTCGGAATGGTCCTCACTGGTCTAGGTTTTCTTGGGCAGAGTCAGAAAGCCTTTTCCATAATGATTCTCATCACAAGTATTCCCTCTATTTTGAACACTCCTGTGTGTCTTAAGACGTGAGTGTTCCCTGAAGACTTTCCACATTATTTGCACTCATAGAGTTTCCCTCCATTTTGGGTTCTTTCCTGTTGAGGAAGGGATGAATGATGACTAAAGGAATCTTCAGACTCCTTAATAGATTATATATATCTGAAAACAGAAACATTATCACAATGTTTATGATTTTTACCATTTTCATTACAAGCATACAAAACTGCCCTGTTGATTTCTTTCCAATTGAATGATGGGACCCTTCTGGCAGAATGCTGTCCCATCTACTCTAAATTTAAAACGATTCCTGTAGTGTTTTATAAAATTGTTTTTATACTCACCGGTTTTATATATATGTGAGTGTATACTTGAGGGAAATTCGCAGCACCAAGTTTCAAGCTAGGTCTAGGATGTCCCCAAATTCATCACATTCCAAGTATCTCCCTAGAGGCGTCACTGTCTTGGGCTAGGGCCACCTGGTCCAAATACCTCTAATTTGCACTTATTTTCTATCTAATCCTCAAGCTTTTCTGAATGTGTAAAATAAGAGGTATCATATCCATCTTGACATTTGTATCCTATTTGGGAGACTGTTCCCCCTCCTACAATACGCTCCTGAAGTGCTCATTCACTTCAAGTCCCAAATCACATTCTGTGGTAAAACAAACAAATTTGAGAACTCAGAAAGAAATGTTAGGTTAAAGAAGTCCAAAAAGGTTAGGCTCGTTTGTATTACTATTCAAATTAGATAAAGAAAAAGAGTTAAGATAGATTTAAGGACTATGGTTATATCAAATATTTTGCAATTATAAGGACAAGGGGTCAAAATTTTAAGTAGTTTTGATTAAAAAATAATTACACAAAAATTAGAAGAGATGACGAATAGAAAGAGAAAATAGCAGGGAAGTTAATATGAAAGATCTGAACAATGCACTGACATCAAAATGATAAATTTACAAAAGAAATAAACCTAGGACAATTTGTGATCATTGGAAAGTGTGAGGAAATGTGAAACAAGAGTAAGGGAAGTTGAAGATACCCCACAACATCAGAGACCAATGGCCTCAGCCTTCTGAGGAAAGAGTGCATCTTAAAAACTTTCCTCATTATGCTTCCAAACATACTGAGCTTTTCACTGACTGTGGTTTTATTTTGCAGACATTCATCTTGGAGAACACCTGTGTCTGCTGTCCTCAATTCTTGTTCCAACCATGAGATCAGACGTGATTTCAACAGGTGATACCCTGTCCACAGGGAAACATACATCAATGGAAGAGGCTCATGAAAGAGATGACAAATCTTCCCACCAGTAAGGAACTCTATTTCTAATGAAGCATTAAATTTATTTCAAAAGGGCTGCAAAGGCAAACATCCCACCTTTCTGTACCCCCCAAACTTGTTCTCTTGGACCCCTGAAACCCACATTCAGGATTATGTACACATTTACAAAGCCCTAAGGCTGTGATTCCAAGAAACAAAGAAAGTGCAACCAAGAGATCATTGTTCTGATGAGGAAACCACTAGAGGAGTGGTGCTCAAACATTATAGCTCATCACAGTCATCTGGAGGGCTTCATAAAACACAGATGAGGCAACAACCACAGCTTTCTGATTCACTATGTCAAAGGTGGAGACTAAAAACGTACATTTCTAACAGAGTGACGATGATGCTGTGGGTCTCACAGCCAAGTGCTGAAACAACAGTAGATTCAAACCCATGGGTGCAGGCTGTACGTGTGTGTTCTTTCTCATTGTATTCAGATTCAAATCTTCAATTTTGGAACACAGTAAGTATGTAATATATTTCTGACCCATAATAGGGTACAAGGAACGATGCCAGATTTACCTGTTGTGGCCAGGTTCTTGTAGTTCTCCAGCGTCACATCTGTGTATAGGTTTGTCTGACTGAGGTGCAGCGGAGTCCACTCCTCCTAGGTAAAGTCCCCAGCCTTATCATCAAAGGTCACTGAAACATAAACCAACACACACAGGCTGACCTATGCAAGTAACAGCTCCACCAATGCTCACTGGAGAATGAGGACGGGAGACCCAAAGCCAAAACAGGGTTCTCAGGCCTCCCATTATCTCCCCCAGTGTTCAGTGGTCCTAGGTACATTTTGCTCCATCTCCACTCTCCCACTGTTTATCTCCTCCAGCCACAAGGCTTTAATTGCACCTCTTACACATGAACTTATCTCACTACAACCAGACTAGGAGATCCTCTCATTTTATTTCCCTCAATTGTAGGATACTTTCCAGCACACTGCACGCTAGTGATAAATGTTAATGAATGAACAAATTCTTTGAGAAAAAGACACTTTCATGTTCCTTACCTGCTGTCACAGCACTAAGCAAAGTTAGAAGCAGGCAGTTGACACCATGAGGATCAAGACTCATTAAGAATTACTGAACTACTGGGATGATTTTCAGGATAACCTCTGACCAATATGACAGACTTGACTACATGGGGAAATTCAACTTAATTGAATGGGGTCTTATTTGCTTTGAGAAGCTCTCGAGACAGATCTACACAGAAGAAACTTTATCTACTGGTAGATGCAAGTATGCCAGTCCTAAGAAGAATAAGCTTTGTATTTACCTAATAATTTGTCAGCTAGCCAGCCACCATTCTTTCATCCTCTAGCTTTTCCTCAGGAAGGGTAAAAGGGTCCCTAGTAAGAACTTTAGGAAAAGAACAAACGAATGAGGCTCCAGAGTTAACAGCAATTCCCACATTTACCTCCTTGAAAATCGTTCCATCCCCATTTGAAATTCTTGTCTGTCCCTGTACCATCAAGAAAACTCACACAAATACACACACTGCCAACAAATGCTAGAGCCGTCGCTCACTAGAGGCAGAAAAGGGATTGTGAGCCATGCTGCCCAGAGGACAAAGGTATAGTCTTACTTTAGAGGTAAGGAAAATTCGGGCCTGAGAACCGTGACCCTTCTCTGCCCCGATGATAACACTCATGAAGAAGATTATGCAGGACCTTTTCCCAAAGGGCATACAGGAACAGCTGGTTTATCACACAGCCTTCTCAGGCTGACTTGGGTTCCTCCTAAATGCGCCAGAGCATTACTGCTCAGTCCTAGACCATTTGACGCCATACTGTGCAGGGCTGACCTGAAGGGGAGTCTGAAAAAGAGAATCACCTAGAACTCACTATACGACAAATCACTACCCACCATCCTGTGAGGCTGATGGTAAACTTCGCCTGACGCTCCTCTCCTTGATGTCAAGATCACTGCAGGGCACTCACTGAAGGCACCCAGACACTGTGGACTGACGGACAACAAACATCCTTCTCAAGGTTGTTAAAACATACCTAGATTATAACTCATTGTTCATGACACAATATAAATCTGAGTTTTCAGGAATATACTTAATTACTCTAATGTAGGCATGATTTCAAGGGAGGATGGAGGGAAAACCAGTGTTTTGAAATTAAAACAAAAATGTTGCTTATTTTTCTGCAAAATTACTTTTAACTTTGCTTTAAAAAATGCACTCTGAAATTGCAAGGTGATACAAATCAAGTGGAGGGTATTTAGCAAGATTTCTAATAACCAAAAATAGGAAACAAGTCAAGGTCTATCCATGTGTAACTCATTAAATAATATGATATAGCTATGACTGGGAAACTAATAGAAAAAAAGAAATACATCTGTGAAGTGATTTCCAGCATCTATATTTAAGCGAAAATAGAAAGTGCAGAACATTGTATATTTGAGTAAGAATGTAAGGAAATAAGAATATGCCGAAAGGTGCATTGGAACACATAGACACCCATGCATTTCTTGTCTCTGAAAGTAAAAAAAACAAAACAAAACAAAAAAACACTATTAAGATATTAATGAAATGGAAAACTTTTGAGTATATTTTCTCATATTGTTTTGACTTTTGGACCATGTAAATGTTTTTACATGCTCAAGAGGTGAAAAGACTATAAAAGTGGAAACAAGAATAAAAAGAATATAGATTAAATACAAAAACACCTAAGAAACATGAAACTTTGATAACATTAGTATTGCAATACTGCATTTTCTGTGTGTGTCACGTAGGATAAAGGAAATAAGAAATAAACTAATGTTACTAGGAACCAAGACTTAGAAAAAACACAAAATTAAAATCTGAGGAGGTAAGAGAAAAAACAAAATATCAACTATGCATTGGTAATATGAATACAAACTTACCATTTAAAAATTTTTTATTCTAGTTCTGGAAGAGTCGTGAAGCCCTTGAAGTAAAATTTAGCACAGGGAGCAAACCTGTGCAAATGTTGACTTTTAAAAAGGACCAAGCTCTTTGAGAGAAATGTCTGACTCCACATGTAGGGCAGGAAAGTACAAAATAAACCTCCAACACCTTGTTGAGTCAGAAAACAATAAATACTCAAACCTCAATCGGGTTGTGTCAAATGGAGGGAGCTGAAAGGAGCTCCCCCTAGATTAACTTGAACTATCAAAAAGACATAATATATTGATTGTAGTACATTGACAGAGAATCCATGAGGATATAATAATCAAAAGGTAGAAAAAAGATAAGAGGAGAAAAAACTGCTAAAGAAAGAATGAACCAGAAAATCAGTATTTGGTAGCATTCAATATAATATGTGATCCAGGAAAATACAAAAAATGTCAGGAAACAGCATATTCCCATAGAGCCAAGCCTTACCCTCCTGTTTTCTAATTACTCTTCCTACATTCTGATAAATTCAATTTCAGTTGTTGCTACTAACAACAAGAGGCTCACATCACCTCTTTATAAAGATTCCCGGATTATGAAGTCCTGGGAGACTGACAGGGCTCTGGGGGGCAGGTGAGGTGAGGTGGAAGTGAGTTGCCCAGCTTTTCCATGGTAGTAAATTTCGTATTTACAGGCATTCTTTCACTCAAACATTTAATGATCTCAGGCCCTCCTACGAATGCTTATCTTCCCACCTGAATAGAACAAACCAGATGTATATAACTGACAATAATGTCAATAACTGACGCCCACAACCAGAACAGATTCATCCAGAGCTCACCCACACTGCTGGAATTCTCAGGCCTGTGAGGGACTGAGATGCTTGTCCTCCTGGAGATGGTGCAACAGAAGTTGCTTAGGAGGCATTTTGAAAGGTGGAGCACAGTGGATGAAAAGCACCCACGGACAGACACTACCTGACCCCACTTCCTGATCCACCTTCTCCCTCGGACAGACATTCTGAGTGGTCCCCATCCCTTACTGCATCAGAGAGATGATGTGGGCCAAGCAGGGAGAGCAGGTCAGGGACCCAGAGCAAACAGGGCAGTGAGATGAGGTGCCCGGTGGGGAGCTGGGAGAGTAGAACATGGTGGGAGGTGAAGAGCGCCCCGCCCCCCAGCAGGAAGAGCAGCAGCTGCCTGGTGTCCACGCAGAGCACAGGTGGTCTCCTTTTGCCCCTTCTCACCCTCCTGGTCCAGATAGGTTCACCCAAGCCCGGGATCTCCAGAACAGACACAGAAGGAGCAGCCAAGAGAGTTGAGCCAGCTGGAGGTGTGCTCTTCTTTTCTGATGAGGGGAGGGGCTCCAGGGACACAGGGCATGGAGAGAGAGCTGAAGTAGAGAAGAAATGGGAACCGTGACCTTGCTAAGCTAGAAAAAAACTCCAAGCACCTGCAGCTGGAAATGCAGCAGAGGGCTGGAGACACGTCCCAGGGGCAAGGCAGAGCCAGGACCAAGGGCAGAACCAGGCAAGGGTTCCTGCTGTAGAAGTATTGGCAAGGGCACCTCCTCCCAGGAAGGGAAGGCTACTTTTATTTTTCTCCTTTATGGTTGAGGAAATACACACAGACCAATTAAGTACATGCCCATGTTCACCAAGTCAATAAAAATAAGCGCCACCGGAAGTAAATCCTAAGTTGCTTGACACTTTGCAATGACCTCCAAAGGATGCCTCTACATAAATACCAATCTAGGGGCAAAGGAGGGAGAAAGTAAAAGTTCACAGTGCACTGGTGCTATGATTGTCCTTACTTCATTCAGATGCAAATGCTGGGACTTTCTACATCTCAAGAAATCCCTTTAACAAAAACACAAATATTGCATCATTTCACTTCTATGAGATCCCCACATTAATCAAAGTCATAGCGACAAAAAGTAGAATGGAGGTTGCCAGGGCCTGTAAAGAGAGGAGAAGAGGGATATAGTAGATATTAGAGATACAGCGTTTCACTACTGAAACTTGAAAAAGTTCCTGAGGTCTACCGCGCAACAAAGTTCATATACTTAACAAGACCGACTGCACACTTCAAACAGTTAAGATGGTGTATCTTATGTGTTGTTTACCACAACTTAAAATAAAACCTTTTTGTGAATTTTCAAACATATCTAGGAAAACGTATCTGCCAAGAACTGAAGGGATTTTATAAGCGAATGGGGATATACACAGAATTATCATATGAGCCAACAACTTGATTTCTGGGCATATGCCCCAAAGAATTGAAAGCAGGGACTTGTGGTCATATTTGTGGATCTATGTTCATTGCAGCGATCACAACAGACACTGGACCCCATCCTGGTGGATCACAGGTTCAACTCTGACCTTGTCTGTGAATAATTCTGGTCTCTTTATTTTATGTGGCAATGAAGTATATAAAGGGTTCCCACATAAATGGTCAGGGTGACATGGACTTGGATGCCTGGCCCCTTCCCTCACCAGGTGTCCCACTTTAAATGCTAGCAAATTTCCAAGCCTGGCCTCCTTCATACATAAGGTAGCACCACAAACACACAGCCAACGAGACATCAGAGACCATCGACTCATGTGTCTCAACACCAATTCAATAAGGACCCTTTTTCCAAGTTGGGGAACTTCTGATCTAGAAGAAGCAATTTGAAACATCTCCAAAGTAATGGAACAAGGATGCACTGCCACTGTGCAGACCTTGGAAGGACACCAATGAGGATTTAGCACATTAGCCACTGTACTCCAAAGCCACCATCTCCTGGATACCCCAGCTGCCCAAGGAGGAATGTGTGCACACGTTGGCAAACAATGCTGCTTCTATGTAAAAAGGCAGGAGAAGTAATGTCTCATGTGAACCACGTAAAAGAACAAGTCAACATTCTACATCAAATGAATGAAACACAATCGTTTCAATTGGACGGATCTCTTCTCGGGAGTGGGAGACTGATCCATCGGGATACGGGGCTGTGTGTTTGGATTTGTTCTTTTCTGCTTTCTCTTCCTTGTTCTAACCTGTGTTGTTGTTTCCTTTGGCAGATCTCTTACCTCCCAACTTCTAACCCAAATCTTCTCTCCAAAGTAATCGACCCAGCTTCTTGCCTGTGAAACTTCATGTCAAGTTTCAAACAGGGACCTGGAGGGACTAACCCCACCAGAATGGCATAAAGACTATTTTAAACTGAGAACATCTGAACAAACAGCAGCTGCAGAGAAAAGCCTTCCTACATTCCCTGTGATGAGTAAAGCAGGCCTTTCTGAGGATTCAGATGCCATAACCCGCTCCAAGGGATCCTCTGTAAGGCAGGAGCCTGACTTGCCATCAAGTCAGGGGAACTGTGTAAACAAGTCCTATCAGAACCTTCCATCCTTTCCCACTGAATCCTTAACACCCCCTCCCCATCCCATTAAGCTGGTGTATAAAACCTTATCTCTGGCCGTTAGGAGAGCTACCCCTTAGAGCGTGCTCCTGCATCCATACATAATAAACTTTTCTCCTATTAATATGTTTATGTAAATTTTATGTAATTTTTCTCCTATTAATAATAATAATATTATATTAATTAATATAATATTAATTAATAATTAATATTAATATAGTGGCCCTCAAACGCTTGATCCTAAGTTGCTAGAGGAAAATATTTCCTCCCAATGACACTTTCTAGACTTCTCTGGATACACCAAAGTCTTCAAATACATAACGAAATTTAGAAACCTTGATTTTGTTTGAAGGTGGAAGAATCCAATGTACATATGCACAGGCTTTCTGGGAGTCCTTTTAAACTTGTCTGAAACAATAAACTTTGGGTAGTAAAAAAAAAAATACTTGTAAAAAGCTTCTGTAACATATCAGCACATAGAATACATTCAGGTGTAAACAAAAAGATAATCCATTATGTCCAAGTTCAGTTTTCCAGAATTAGAAGGTTCCTATACCATTGGATATCAATTAACTCACCATATTTATGTTTTTGGTCCCTTTTATTTATATTTCTACTCAAGTATTAGGCATCTATCATAGGCTGATACAGTTCTAGAAACTTGAATGAGATCAGCAAATAAATGTGATTATCTCATAGGAATCAAGAGAAAGCATTTAATACATTCAAGGCATTTATGAGAAAGGAGATTCTCAAACTAGGAAAAGTAGGGTGAAGGCTTAACCTTGTAAAATCTACAACAACCAACACCATGAATGGTAAAAGAGAAAGCACAGCCCGTTAGTGTTAGGAAGAAGACAAGGACACTGCTTTTACCAGCTCTAGCCGTGATTGCTTGGGAGGTCTTGTTTGGTCACTAAAGCAAGAAAACCATATAAATGAGTTAAGGATTGAAATGGAAAAATAAAATTACCATTAATTACAGAAGATATGATAGTCTATGCAGAAAATTGAAAAGGATATTTCAAAAATTAATATTTCTAAGAAAGTTTAACAAGGCTGCTACATAAAATTCAGTACAGAAATATCAACTACATTTTATATATCAGCAATCAGAAATTAAATTTAAAAATAAAACATACAGAATTAAGAAAACTTTAAAATGCTAAACAATAATCTAATCAAAATATGCAGAGTCTTTTTTGGAGACAATTGTAAGATGTTGATCTCCCTTGAGGAAAATTAAATAAAGGGGGAGAAACACTTTGTTCTTGGAGTGGAAAGTCCAATACAGAAAACACTCCATTCCCCTTCAAATGATTTATGTAGAGTTTCAGCAAATGTCTAATAAAAAGTAGACCTACTATTTTTGGAGGAACCTCACAAGCTGATACAAAATAGATAGAGATCTCCCCACAACTTACTGATCACTGAAAGAAAAATAGAAACTTCCCAATGCAAACATGGGACATGGGCTCCACTTTACACCAGGTGATGAAAAGTAACATCACCAATGACGGGAAAAATGAAATCACAGGCCTCTCTCTAGTGATAACCTTGAAATATCCATCTCTTTTTTAATATTCAATCCAAAATTGAAAACCTGAATGTAATTGTGACGACACTTCAAAGAGATCTAAGTGACCAATGCTGTCTAAAAGAAATGGCTGTATTTTTTAAATGCCTCATAACATAAAAGACAAAGAAAGGTTAAGGAAATGCCTATAATTGATTAAAGAAACATTACCACTAAAAACATGACACCAAACCCTGGACTAAAGGGGACATTTTGCAATAAAGGACATGGGACAGCTGATAAAATAGGAATATGGACTATACATTAGATAATATTCTTCTTCTTGGGAAACACATACAGAAAATACTAAGGGGCAAAGGGGCATGATGTATGCAACTTACCCTTAAATGATTCAGGAACAAAAATCACAGACACAGAGAGAGAGAGAGAGAGAATGAGAAAGAAAAAGGAGCAAAATGATAAAAATTAGGGAATCTGGGTAGAGCTATACTGGACTCCCTTTTACTAGTCTACCAACTCTTTCTCTATGTCTGGATAAATTTCAAAACTTTAAAAAGAAGCTGAGAACAGTAAAGACACTCCTAAAGAACAGTGGCACAGGAAGTAGCTCTATGAGGCATGAAGACACATGGTAGAGTTAATATAATGAATACAAGTGACATTGGTGCAGAGATTAGACCAACTGACCAAAGGAACAACATCAAGCCCTGAAACACACCCAAATAAATATGGAATTTTTTCAATGGCTGATCCGACACTGGAGATCAGCAGGGAAAGTTGAGCTTCTCAACTACATGATCTTGTGAAAATGCTATGTTCATTGGAGGAAAAATAAAATCAGACGTATATTGATACCACACACAATGAACAATCCTGATGTATTAAGGACATACATTTGTAACAAAAACTATAGAAATGTGGTAAGGCAAGGTAGTAGAGTATATTTATAATGTCAGAGTAAAAAAAAAAATCTAAGACAAGGAAAAGGAAAGGTTGACTAAATCTGGCTATCCTCAAATTAAGAAATCTTTTCCTTAAGAAAACTGAACATATGTTAAGTGGAAACTACTGCATTCATGTAACTCACAAATGGTGAGTTTCACGTTGTCTAACAAAACCCTTCCAAATTCTTTTTTTAAAGGCAAATTATTAGAAAAATCAGCAAAATACATGACCACGTATTTCTCCAAATGGCCAAAGTAATTGTAAACATGTTCATGCCATCAGTAATCACGTAAAGGCAAATTAAAACTACAATGAGACATCATTTCACAACATCTCTGGGAAAACATTGTAATTAAATAATAAGGGTGAACATGTACAAGGGGAATGAATCAAATCAAAAAGGCATAAATCAATAATGACAGCTTTTATGAACAGTTCAAAACTCACAGAAGGTAGCTCATTCCTTGTTATGGGGTATGTCCAGAAGTGCTAAAACCTAGGAAGAAAAACGAAAACATGGTGTGTTTATAAAGGCGACTGAGTGAAGATGTGACTAGATTAATGCCATTAGAAGAAAAGTTTATTACTAACAATCAATCCCAAGAGAAGGGTCATGGGAAGCCATGCAGGGCTCAATGGGGGAGCACAAGAGTCAGTGAGAGGCAGAAATGAGGGGAAAGCAGAGGTCAAAGACTTTATTGGGGTGTCCTCAAGAAAGGCAAGGCAAGGCAGAGTAAACAGTTTAAGACTGGCTAGTTTGAATACTTCTGGCAGTCTTTGACACAAAGGGAGGCCCATGGTGGTCTGGTACCTGGCTCCGGGTTGACTTACAGCAGAGGAAATATTGGCTTGGTGTGTAAGAGTTAGATAAAGGAGGTGGTTGTGTATGCAGCTTTGGTTAGCTGAGTTTACACATGAAAGACAGATGCCGAAGCATATTGTTTACTATCTTTAGGAATTGGCTAGCCCTGGGAGGGGGAGTCTCTCACCAGCCAACCTGACGCCCAAAATGTGAAAGTATCATACTATACAGCAAATTAAAATCATGATTAATCAAACTGGTCCCCTGATCATTTGACATTATACTAAGGAAAGTGTGGGGTGATGAAAGCAGAGATTTTTAGGGGAGGGCATAATTGCCCTAAACACCATATAAAACATTTTATTATGAAAGTAAGGAGAAGGAACCTTTGTAGGAGAATAAGGAGTCATTGTAGGCTAGCCCATGTTCATCTTTTTCATTATGTATGGCATTAATCAAGGAAAAAGACCTAAAAAATTTTTTGGAGGAGATAACGATATCTTGGTGGAGTCATAAAGTGTGTTAAAAGTATGACTCTGACAACGAGCATAGTGGCTGGTCTGGTAGATATCTTGTTGGAGGGTATGAACTAAGTTAATGAAGAGTATGAAAAGATTAGTGGTTTTGTGTGTAACCAAGAGGAAGGAGTATCTGTGGTTGGAGATGCAGGACAGGAGGTCATGGTGGAAAGCCGGAGGGGTGCAGTAGGAGAGGCACTGGGAAGAGAGTCGTCCTCTCCCCAGGAGCTCAAGGGGTTGACTGATACGAGTCAGGGATCTCCTGAGGAAAGCAGTAATTTTCATTAATTGTTAGAATCACACAGACAGGGGGAACCTCTATCAGATTTCCCCACAGGTGTGGCAGGGCAGGGATGTAGGTTCTGGTGGAGAGCAGGGAGCACACCAGGATCACAGGCTAAGCAGCAGGCTCAGAAACATAATAGAATATCTAATATCAGCAGTAAAAGCAATAACGTCATGTGTCAAATGGTGCCTTAATTGAGGGACCAAGAGTGTTGTGAACTGGGTGAAGTCTTCTCCAATGGTAAGGTCTTCGGCTGGGGTAATGTCATCTGAAGCAATATCATTGCCCTCAGTGAGCACCTGGGCCAGGGTGATGTTATCTAGGATGTGGGCCTGGGGCATTATTTCCCAGATGATACTCCACTCAGGTTGCTGTGAGTCTCGTCATTTGCTATGTTTGATCGAAACACTGACATTCTTAGAAGGTTTGGGCCTATGAACTCAATGAGAGCACCCAGACCAGTAGTCATAAGACCAACAGGTAACAAGATGGTGTGAAGCTCTGTTCGATAGTATTTTAGCTTGAGACTTTTGTGGAACTTTAGCCTGAAATGGGTCCCGTATCAGATGAGCATCTGCCTGGCCCGTGGGACAATGTTTGTTAATGGGTCCCTGGAGAGTATGCACCCTCGATCTGACCTCCAGCTCTTATGGGATTGACAATGTATAAAGATAGCTTAAGGCTCAGGGCAAGATAGAGACCTGCTTACAGGCCCATTGGTGGGACTGAAATTTAGAGGACTGTTTGAGGAGATCCCTGTGTCTTCCAGGTAAACTGGCTGTCTGGGATCCATCAGGAATGTGAAAGTTTTATTGAATGCCGTTTCCAAAAGCCTAGTATTGTGTATTCTGAAGAGTGAAATGTGTGTCTTGCTTACTATTGGTAATGCCTATAATTCCAAAGGGAATAAGGAGTGTCCTGACAAGGCTTTGTACTGTGGCCTTAGTATATGTAGAGACGTGTAATTTTGATTTATAATTTGAGTATCTGTGAGACAAGAGATTCCAGAGTTCTTGGCCCTGACTGGACAATTTTTAGGCGATGGCCCAACAATTCATAACAAATGTGAAGATGGGGCCATTATTGGCCAGGGCATCGAGAGCCAAGATGACTGCCTGAAGTTTGGCCAAGTGTATTGTTTTTGGAGTCTTGTTTTGTATTAGGGACGTCCTGGTTGAGAGATGGAAAGCAGTAACTTTCCACTGTGCTCCATCATGTATGACGGTCAGCAGTGCCATCCACATAGTCCACAACTCTCACTGCTGTTTATTCAGTTCATCCCAAGGGCTCCTCAGGCAGCCAAGAGATGGATTATTTATTTACTTATTGCTTAGTTCAGTTAAAGAACATGTAAT